TACAAACTGAGAGGTTATCAAGCTTTAATTAGATGATATTTTTGGGGATTGGTAACGAAGAATCACCGGCGGTAATTAGTACAAGTCGCGCCCAGGTCAAAACTCGGGCATTGAAATGTGGGAAAATCAATGTTTAACAACACAAATGTCGCATATGCGCGGCGCGACGACCACGGCCCCTCTCAGATTTGATTAGCGTTCAAATTACTTGTACTCAAGCTTGAAATGGCATTCGACTAAGTTTTGACGACAACTTCAAATCAAACAATTTACCTGAATCGACGTGACAGTATGACCATTGCAATATTATCCCCAACTAAACGTTTGGCTGTGAATATTTTATCCCTGACGTGAAGCAATCTGAAAACCCCGTTTCTCAACTTGTCTACTTATTTACTTTTTAGTCGTATTCAAGATGTCTGCCCCATATATAATATTTATTTGATTACATTTAACTGCGGCGCGCGCATGCCAGATATGAGATGCAAAAGCAACGTGTGATAATATGATTGTGGATGTATTAATTGATGTCACAAAAATAAAATTCTCTGTTGCCGAATATCAGCATACTAACATGTTGGTATTTTCCACCATTACAAAAACTGGCTTCTTTCTGCACGCTATCATAGAGGGACTGTGAATCTATGAGTGATTCGGATATAACAATCTGATAACAATCTACTAGCTTCATGGAGCAACATTGCTAGCAATGCTAGCCTGTGAGCCAATCAGCTGACCATAATGCTGGTTCAGTGTACGAAATAAATTAGCGGCCACTACCGTGACGACCTCAGTAAATCATTCCATTCCGCGATGAAAATGTCATGTAACGAAAGGAGATTAGTAATTTTTTAATATTCATGCGTTGCAATTTGATGGGCGCTGTCCAGGCGTTATAGTTTGTTTTGACGCGCATTCTCGGTTGAACAAATAATGAAACGCATCGGTAATTTATCTGCGGCAGAAGCAGAAAGCAAGACAGAGAGCACTGAGTACGCCATCAACGAAAAATATTAGACCATTTCCGAGACTGATTCGCCAAATAAGTGCGACAAAGGTTTTCGAAATCCTGCTAGCGTTTCAACGTCCCCAGAATGAAGGAGTAAAACATGTTTTAATAATAATTAGTCACAAATATGTAAGTAAGCAAAGGAATATCCGTCAACAATAAATTACGTGACGCACCCGGTACGCATCAGAACGCTCTAGCGTTCTAAGGAATTTTGGAACATGAGAATACATACGCCGACGTTACACTTCTGAGACGACAGTGGGGTGTGCACACTTCGTCACGTTGAATATGGGATGCGGGCATTCGGTCCCACCAGTCTTATCAACTACGTTAAATTCTACAATAAGATCGAATCATTATGGAGTAAGTAACGACTTGAACTTTACC